CAAAACAAAAAAAAACAAAAAAAAAACAAAAATTAGAAAAATCAAAAATCACATTTTTCACATAATTTAACAACATAGCTACAAAGTTAAGGATACTTACTGTAGTTTGGAGTCCACTGAATGCCGGATTCGCTCCTTCTTGACATTTTCTTCTCCAAAAATCTCCCAAAGCAGCGTAGCTTCTGAGAAGGAAACAACTCTTCAAATGTGAAAATGTTTGGATTTTTATGGGTTTGTGACTCCGATTTTAGTATGGGTTAGAGCAAGAATGCATATTGGATTGAAAATTTGGGAATGAGTTGAGCTGATTGAAATTGTGAAGTGTGGGAAAATTAGGGTTTATGAGTGAAACGTGATTTGGATTTGGGATTTGGGAGAATGAGTTAGAGGAAATTACTATATTGTGCCACGTCAATATTTAATTTTCAATATATTATTCCACGTCACATTTAACGGCCACATAGACGTCACGTGAGCCACGCGTGCAATTTCCGTCGAAGTTAGCTGCCGACGTTAACGGCAGAACATAAAGTGATCAAAAGTGGCAAGTTTAAGGACATATATAGCGGACTGAAATGTTTGGGGACATAAATCGTTTTAGTGGTAAAGTTTAGGGACATAAACTGTAATTTTCCCTACTAATTGTTAAAAATCCTCCTAGTGGTATTTATGTTATTTCTCATTTTTAATAGAGTTATTTAAATTTTATTTTCTTTGGACGAAATTGTAAGCAAAGGTGATACTGGGGTTAAGTAAATAATATAAGTAAAAAGGGGTTGAAGTGCATTGTCATGTGCCACGCATGTGACTTTTCCCATCTAACTTAAAAGAAATTCAAACGGTCGTCGAAATGTGTAAAAAAACCGATTATTTAAGGACCAAATTTGTGGCAGAAAAAATTGAAGGACCAAAAAAACAATATAATATAGAGACCAAAATTGTAATTATCCTACTCTATTTCATCTGCAATTTGTTTTATTCACGGGGCTCCACTTGAAATATTTTTGAAATGGGTGATCTGAGGCTGAGAGACGAATTACATTTGAAGTTTTGAACTTTGTCCATAGTTGTGAGGGAAATTATTTCCAAGGGATTTTGTCTAATTGCCCCTTGAATATAAGTATACTTATAAACTGAGAAAAAAAAAAAGAAATTTACAAAGAAGTGTAGACTAAGTCAGTCAACTTCCTCTCTCTTTCAGTATTATTGCATCTGGAATTTTGTAGACATGGTCGGCCAACTATGATGTTGACATATTGTTCATGCTGAGAAACACAAACAGAAAACTGACCTCAGCCAATTATTTGTGCTGCTCACATGCACAGTTACTACTTACTAGTGGAAGCTGATAAGAAAATGAAAAGTGTCCACACAAATTTGGTGGTAATTTCTTCTCTGACTAAAGACGCGCACTCCAAATTTGAAAAAAATACATCACTTAGTTGAGAAACAAATAGCAAGATATTTGTTTCTTTAATTATTATCAAAGTTGCTGTGAATTTCAATTAGTTGAGAAATGGCAGAGGCTTTCGTTCAAGTAGTTCTTGAAAAGCTGAGCTCATTGATCGAAGGTGAGATTGGTTTGATTATGAGTGTGGACGAAGAGATGAATAAGCTCTTCAGCACACTCACCACCGTTCAATCCGTGCTCGAAGATGCCGAGATGAAGCAACTTGAAAGCAGAGCCATACAGAACTGGCTACTGAAGCTCAACGATCTTACCTATGAGATTGATGACATCCTGGATGAGTGTGCTACGGAAGTCTCTACGTCGAAGCATAAAAACAGCAAATTAAGTCGCTATAGCTTGAAGAAAATTCTCTTCCGACGCAAAATTGGAATAAGGATGAAGCAGGTCACTGAGAAACTTGACGCGGTTGCTGCAGAGCGTGCAAAGTTCCATTTGCGTGAGATGGCTGTAGAGAGGCCTATCAAATTTGATGCCACGCGTGAGACTGGTTCCGTTTTGAATGAGTCCCGTCACATTTATGGCAGAGAAGAAGATGCACAGAAGATTGTGGATATCCTGGTCAACCAAGTCAATGATAATGAAGAAATCTCCGTGTTGCCCATAGTTGGCGTTGGAGGCCTTGGCAAGACCACTCTTGCTCAATTAGTCTACAACGATCCACGGGTCGTTGAACATTTCGACAAACTAATTTGGGTTTGTGTCTCCAACAATTATGATATCAAGACTTTGTTGAAAGCCATGATTGAATCTGGGGGTGGAAGTGCTTCAGATTTAATGCACTTGGATACTTTACAGCGCGTACTATGGGAGTTGCTAAACAACAAAAGATATTTGCTTGTACTGGATGATGTTTGGAACGAGGATCAAGAGAAGTGGTCTGAATTAAGAAATGCAATGTCGTGTGGCTCAACTGGGAGTTCAATTATTGTCACTACACGCCTCAAAAAGGTTGCTGATATAATGGGAACACTTCCACCACATTACTTAAAGGGATTGTCAAACGAGCATTGTTGGATGTTGATGCGTGAACGAGCATTTGGACATGAGAAAGAGGAATTTCCAAGCCTGGAAGCTATTGGGATGCAAATTGTGAACAAGTGTGCTGGTGTTCCTCTAGCTGCTAAGGCGCTCGGAGGTCTGTTGCGGTTTAAGAGGACTGAGAAAGAGTGGAATTATGTAAAAGAAAGTGAAATATGGGAATTACCTCATGAAGAAACTCTGATACTACCAGCCTTGAGATTGAGTTACCATCATCTCCCTTTATCATTGAGACAATGTTTTGCTTATTGTGCAGTTTTTCCCAAGGATACTTTTATCCGGAAAGAAGAGTTGATCTTTATGTGGATGGCGCATGGCTATATTTCATCAAAGGGAGCATTGGAAGTGGAGGATGTTGGCAATGGCATATGTAATGAGCTAGTTTTGAGATCGCTCTTGCAATACGTTCCACATACAAATAACTCAACTCTTATTATGCATGATCTTGTTCACGATCTCGCCCAATCAATCATGGAGAACAAAGTTCCTGGAACACAAGTCCAAAGGACAAACTTCAGAAGTGCAGTGTCTAGTAGCAAAATTCGCCAGGTAAATTTGAGAAAAAAGTTCATTCTCTTTCCTACTAGTAATCAACCAGAGATGGACATGCCTCTCGTCTTAAATAACTTTTTGCGTTTGAGAATATTAGATGCAAGTTATACAGGGATAGAAAATTTGCCTTATGTGGTAGGCAATCTGAAACATTTGCGACACTTGAATTTGTCTGGATCTGAAATTCGTAGCCTACCCGACTCGCTATGTAGTCTTTGGAATTTGCATGTTTTGAATTTGGATGGCTGCAGAAAGCTAGAGGCTTTACCGAAGAAGATGAGGTACTTAATTAATCTCCGTCATCTATTTTTGGAAGATTGTGAATCATTAACGGAGATGCCATCTAAAATTGGAGAACTTACTAGCCTTAGAACACTGAGTTTGTTCATAGTGGGTCATAATAAAGATAGTCTACTTGAAGAATTAAAATGCTTGAAGCTGGGTGGTAAGCTTAGAATCCGTAATCTGGAGAGAGTGAAAAATCCTATGGATGCAAAGAAAGCAACTCTTGCCGAAAAAGAAAATCTTCGTCATTTGTGTTTAGAGTGGAAGCCTGAGAATACTGCATCAAAATCATCGGAGGAAGAAGATATAGTGAGAGATGAAAAGGTGTTGGAAGCACTCGAGTCTCACCCAAATCTTGAAACTTTAGATATAAAGGGATTCAGGGGTAGGTGTTTTCCAGTTTGGATGTCGAATTCAACTCTGGAGAAACTAGTTGGAGTATATCTAAAAAATTGTGAGAATTGTTTGCATCTTCCACAGCTGGGAGAGCTACCTCATCTTAAATCCTTGAGTTTAAAGAATCTCGCTCGGGTGGAGTACATACTTGAAGATCAAAGTGGAAATCGATCAACGAGCGTACAACAGTTCCCATCTCTGGAAACACTGTATTTAACAACTCTCCCCAAAATGAAAGGGTTGTTAAAGGAGCAAGTGACGATGGGATCGGCTGAAGCATTCCCAAATCTCGAGGAGCTACAGATATTAGACTGCTCTTCGTTAAAACTGCCACCACTCTCGTCATCTCTTAAAAAGTTGAAGAAATTGGGATGCAGTAGCTTAACTCTGGCGTCATTGTCTGAGGTGGATCTGAACACTCTTACCGAACTTTTCGTGGACTTCAAGGAGAATACGGCGACATCTATCTCAATTGAGACGCTGCAAAGCCTTACTAATCTCAAGAAGTTGGAGATTTATAAAGCATGTGATGAGCTGTCTATTCCAGAACAAGGGATGCGAGCCTTGACATCTCTTGCACATTTAAGGATAAAGGAATGTGATACACTGAGGTGTTTTCCCGAAGGGTGGTTGCGACACCTCACAGCTCTGGAGGAACTAGAAATATTCGAATGCCGAGAACTAGTAGAGCTGCCGGAAGGGATTAAACACCTCCACAACCTTAAAAAAGTAGGCCTGTATAAACTTCCTAAATTGGTTGGAGTTCCTAAAGCATTGAACCACCTCTCGTCGTCACTCCTCTCTCTTATCCTATCCAGACTTCCTGAGCTGAGTTCGCTGCCGGAGTGGTTGGGCGATATGAAATCTCTTCAATCTCTGGGTATTTATCAGTGCCCAAAGGTAACATCACTGCCAGGTAGTATCAGAGGAATGACGAATCTCCGATATCTGTGGATCAAAAAATGCCCGGAATTGGAAATGAGATGTCAGAGAGAGAAGGGAGAGGACTGGCACAAGATAGCACATATTCCCCACCCGGAAATTGGTGAACGGATTCCCTAATTGGCGGCTGTTTCAGACTACAGCTGCAAGTATTTTTGTATCCAGGATCGGATGCTGCAATACATAATTGTGTTATTCTTTTCGTTATTCCTTCTCTTTTTGGCATTTATGTGAGTTAGCATAATTCCCCCGTTATCTCTATCTCTATCTCTCTCTCTCTCTCTACATCAGCAGAGTTGAATATATATTGAATAAATGGAGCAGTATGTGATCGAAATAGTATTTTGCCACTATAACTAACTGATACCCGTTTACATTTTGAGCGTGTCTGAAGAATCAGATTCCAGTAAATTTGCATTGCAAACACCCCTAACTTTTAGAAAGAAACACTTAAAATCAACTTAATTCACAATCCATAATTTCTGCTTTTAAATAAGTTTTTGCAAACACCACCATAATTTTATTGGCAAAAACGCCTTATGATTTAATTTTTGTAGGCAATCAACAACCTTGTTAAAGGAATTGTGTGCTAAACAAGATTAAATAATAGGGGATGTTTTATTGATAAAATCATACAATTTTTTTAATTTTAGCAATTCCATATAACACAAGAGTACCGACCGAAATAAACCTCCATGTGTATAATTAAGGGGGTGTGAAATCGACATCAAAAGTAAGAAAATGGAATTGGTAGCAGTTTCCACATTTGTCCTTGTGGCGGTTTTAGCCTGGTTTATATTCCCGAGGCACAAGAATCTTCCGCCCGGGCCTCATCCTTTTCCGATCATCGGAAACCTTCACCAACTCGGCAAAAATCCCCACTGGTCAGTTACAAAACTCTCCAAAAAAAATATGCATGGCCCTTTAATGTATATCTCTCCATTTGGGAAGTATATACACCCTATGAGTTGTATCCTCGCCGGAAATGGCAAAAGAGATACTTCTGAAACAGGGCAACAATTTCTCCGGCCGACCAGACGGCTGCTTTAGAGGCGGCGCACGGTCACTACAAGATCCCAATGACGTTTTTACCCATCGGAAAAGAATGGAGAAAGTTCCGCAAACTGGGAAGAGAGGAGATGTTCATGGCTTCCCGTTTGGAATCCAGCCAGACACTTCGCCTGGAGAAACTAGAGAGGAAGTGCGACTATGCCGGGGAATTCTGCGACAGGGGCAAAGCGGTAAATATCGGGGAGGCCATCTTCACGGCGATGGTCAATCTAATGTTCGCGACACTCTTCTCAACTGAAGATGCTAGTTTTGATTCGAATAATGAATCATCATCTGATGATCAGGAATTACTTAAGACAACCATTGAGGGCATTGCGAATATCATGGGACGTCCTAACTTTGCGGACTTCTTTCCGATTCTTAAACCGTTTGATCTGCAGGGGTTAATCGGATGTCCGGGATTTACTTGGGGAAGTTGCTTTTGTTTATTGAGGGTGTTATCAATCAGAGACTGGAATCGAGAAAATCATGCAAGACCATCAAGAAGAAGACTGATTTTCTGGAGACGCTTCTTGTGTTAGCCGAAAGGTTACTTTCGAATGTGATGATTTACAAACAATTGATTTGATCTAATAGTCCTTCTTTGAGTCATGTTTTTATTAGACAAATTAATCAAGCCGGAATTAATCAAGACCGGAGTGACAGAATCCATAAGAGGCCTAGTGTCCTTGAACTATCCCGAGAACGAGATCCGAACGATCCTCCATACGGCTTTCTAGTCTTGGTCCAAATTCTTCTTTCTTGGATCAAATAATAAGCCCAATTTATTTGGTCTTTATTTTCGAAAGTTAGCCCTTTATAAAATGATAATTTATTTTCGAAAATAAATCCTTTTTACTTGAAAATTATTTCAAAAGGGTCAGCTGAGATTTGAAAGAAAATATCCATGAGATTTTGGAAGCAAAAGGTTTTTCGAAATTCAAGATCTTCTATCTTTGGAAAATGGGCTAATATTCAAAATTATTTGAAGTGTTATGAAAAACGTTTTTTCATTGATTTAAACTGATTGAGAATCATATTTTCGGACTTGGAAGATTTTAAATCAATCCTCAATCAAAGATTTAAAAATATATAAGTTGTCCGGAAGTTAGCCCGGAAGTTGCTGAAGCTGGCTGGAAGATGTTGTGCTGAAAATCGTTTTTGAAGGAAGAACACTCCTTTTGAGTTTCAAAATTCAAATGCTTACCATATTCAAGTGATTTAATTGATCTCAATCAGCTGGAGATCAATCTCACTCATCATCTAATCAATCCAGAGATTACCGATTGATTATTTCCTTTCTAGAGATGAAGAGCTTCACCTATAAATAGTGGACCATTCATTCAAGCTTATGCATTCCAAGCCAATTTCGAAAAGAG